AAGGGGGTGACCCAGTCCAAGCTGGGCGCGGGGTCTGGTGAGGAGCCGCGGGTCCGACCACGACGAGTTCAGCTTCCAGCTCTGCTACAGGATCCTGAGAGAGGAGTAAGCTCTCTGGTTAGGTAGATAGGGCGAGGAGTCCACGGAATGGAGGGGAGGAGACAGATGGAGTCAGGATAGTCAGGCCTTTCGTAAAAATCATTCACTGCTCTCATCAGAAATCACGTATCAGCTCTTGGTACTTGTACACAAAGCTGCTCGCAGCCTGCTTGAGATAATGACTAAAAGTAGCATTGTTCATGTCATTGCTACATTCCGAATGAAGAGAGTGGCCTCCCTTGGTCTGGAGAGCAGCAGAGCAAGGACCTTGAACCATGTACTCTTTCATCTTTCAAACAGTTTATGACCATTGCTGACTGTAGTCCTGAGCACACTGTCCAACTCAAGGACAGTGGTTAGTTTAAGACTCCCTGCTGACACAACACCTGCACTGGTGGCTTCTTTTTATATAAGATGTTTCCCCCCCCCATCCCCATCTCCTTAGACAAAATCAGTTTTCGCATTGTTTTTTTCCTTATAAGGGCCCATGTAACTGGGCCTTTTGACCTCCTGGGGGTAACCCATTTGGACTCTCATACCTCTACCCTCTTTGTCCTTGTTTCTAATTCTTCATGAACATCTTGAGCACTGGACAAATACCTGACCAGGTGTTGGGTCTGAACACCTAGCACTTGTTTTACGGATGTTACTCTGTATCTCATTAACTTTACCCATCTGTAATACAAGCCTATTTCCAGTACTAGTGGCATGCCCCAGTTTCCCAGTGAAATAACTGTGGATTCTTTGCAGAGTGCTCCTGTGGCAGCTGTGTTTATGGGCTGTCTTGGTGTCTTAAAGTGAATGAAGCTTCTAGTCCCCTCCTATATTTGTGTGGCCTGCTTAACACTCCTGGGTAAGTGTTTCGTTTGTTATTTTTTTCCTTCTCTCTCTCTTATTATTATTATTATTATTTTTGTGGAGAGCAAGTGCTTTCTTGAAAGAGACAGAAATGGGTGGGGCTGGGGAGAGGAAGGAGAAATCACCCCACTGGGGAATGGCTGTGCCATAGTCCCTTTTCTTCCATTTCCCTTTTGGAATTTTGGACACACACAAACGGGCTCCCAGTTGTAATTTCCAAGCCACTGGATCTGGGAATCGAACCATGAAATCTGCCATGTGGGAATTAGCCACCTTAACCACAATGCTACTGACTGGCCCAGTCCTGGATGAATTTAAAGAATTTTATAGGCCACCAGGTGGTTTGGTGATTAATGATCTGGGCTTCCACTGTTCAAGTCCTGTACCTCATGGCCTGAAAATCATGCTGCAAATGGTTCATACATGCCCCAAATCCCAGGAGGATAATGGAGGAGAAGGGATTTTTGGCATGGCCATCCCCCATGGGGGAGGGGGTGATTTCACACTTTGTTTCTCTCTCTCTCCCTTGCTACCTGTGTCCCTTCAGTGAGCACATTCACCCTATGACAAAATCCTAAGGGGAAAAAAAGAATTTTATATAAGTTCAAATTCAGAATCTAGGAACAGTGGTTTCTCTTAGGGAGTTTAGGCTACTGAATAATGGTACCATTTTCTTTGGAATGAAATAAGTTTTACAAAGTTAGAAAGAGGCCACTATACTGATAGGGATGCTACCTGAAAGAACTCCCCTAAGACCTAAACCCTGTATTAGTGCCTCATAGCAGAGGCAAGAGTGGCTGGGAAAGGAAATGATTTTATTTTTCTGTAACTTAAGTAATTATTTTTTTTCTTTTTTCTCACTTTTTTTTATTTTAATTTTTTATATACATTCAATCTCATTATTTAGCTTACAACATGAACATTTTAATATGTGAAATTTCTCCCCAGTCCAGTTGATCAGAATATCTTCCACCAATAACACCACACCTCCCCATCCCATCAATGCTCTGTCTCCGTATCCCTCCTCCAAATGTTCTTCCTAAGGTCCCTCTTCCCCACACACCCCACTTCTGGCACTAACCCCCATCTCTCGTGTTTGTACAACCTTAGGTCAATCAGTTTCAGTTGTAGAGTGCAGACACTTGGTATCTATTAAGTGGGGACATACAGTGTCTCTCCTTCATAACCTGGCTTGCTTCACTCAGCAGTAAATCTTCCATATTCTTCCACTTTTTGTCAAAAGCCAGGGTTTTTGTTTTTTTTGTTTTTTTTTTATGTTTGAATAGTATTCCATAGAGTATATGTGCCACAGTTTCTCAATCCATTCATCTGTTTCGGGGGCATTTGGGTTGGTTCCATGTCTTAGCAATCGTGAATAGTGCCGCAATAAACATCGATGTGCAAGCCCTTTTCCAATTAAGAATTCTTCTGTCCTTTGGGTAGATACCAAGGAGTGGGATTGCTGGGTCATATGGTATTTCTATTTGTAGATTTTTGAGGAATCTCCAAATTATTCTCCACAGTGGCTGGACCAATTTACATTCCCACCAGCAGTGTAAAAGAGT